CAGGAAAAACACTATGTCTACATCCAAATCAACACAAGAAATCACCCTGCAATTGAACTTTTCAAGACCTGAAAACATAATAAGGTTTTAGGGTTTATCAACACATTCAAGTTCCAAAACAGTGCAACTATATTAAAATATGACCGGCACAAAATTCCAACTCTACCACATACTCAGTTGGAAGACACACAATGATGAAAACACTTAAAGGGTTTACTTTGTGGCAGGCACCGTTCTTGTTCTAGAGACTTCACATTTTAACTATGAGTATAACATAAGTTCTGTAAGACAGGTACTGCAAGACAGTACTGTTATGATTATCAACATCCCCGCAAGACATGTACTATTACGATTATCTCCATTTTACAGATGAAGAACTGAGGCACAGACAGATTAACTCACCAATGTCATACAGCTTAGTAAGAAACAGAGCAGGGATTTTAATCCCATCAGTCGGACTCCAAAATTCATGTTAACCAATACACTATGTTTCATAGTAAGGGTTATACAATGGCCACTTAAAAAAATTTTTTTTTGGGCCGGCCTGGTGGCGCACTGGATAGTGCGCCGCTTGGGAAGCGCGGCAGCGCTCCNAAAAAAATTTTTTTTTAAACCCGATAGCCTTTTTGGCTTCCAAACACCAGTATATCATCGTGCAATAAGTACAGGCTTTGGGATCAAAAAGGCCCAAACAGACCCCTGAACACAGTCTGGGCCTCAGTCTCCCCATATGTAAAATGAGGGTAGTTAAGTTACTGTGAAGGTCAAAGAAGGTAACATAAAGTACCAAGCAGAGAACACAGTATAGGGGTTCTTAATCTGAATTTGACAGACACCTACAAGGTCCACGAATGGGCTCAAGTCCACCAAGCTCATAAATTTTATGACAAACTGCGTGTGTGCGCCCGTGTCTTAAAGAATTTTCCACAAACTTTCAAGGTGTATGTGATCTCCAAAAGGTTAACATCCACTGGAATACAAAGCAGGTAACAACAACAACAAAAAATGGAAGCTATCTTTTCCTCCTTGTTCTCATAGATTCTCCCTTTCCCTTAAGGATGACACACCAATCCTTCACAATAAATACCAACTGTTTCCCACCATTTTCTTGGCTTGGTAAGGAGTAACATTCGCAAGCTTATGCCCCAATATTGTAGCGACAGTCTAAAGAAGCCCATCAAGCGCTGCTTCATGCCTCTCTTCACCGAGACCACTACACGGTATTAACTCGTGGA